TAGGGCCTTGATAGGCTCCACCGTAGAGCGCCGCTAGGGTAGGCAGTGTGTGCGCGGAGTAGGCCCCGGGCTTGCGCTTCTGCTTCTGCGTCTTTGTTTTCGCAAAGAAGGGCATCTATCGATGCAGTGCGGGTTCCCAGGTCGGTGTATGTGTTTGGGGTGGTGGGATCAGGCTTGATGGTCAAGATTTAGGCGAGATTTTAGTTTAGATGTCGGAGCTGTCAGAAATGGCGTCTGATCAGCTCGGCAGTTGGCTCCGCCCCCTCTATTTATTTATATTTTTATATAATAAATATCCAAAAAGACAAAACTATTGCTTCCAAGACAATCCTTATTTTATATTGTATTCCCAATTATTTATATATGTTAAATAGAGGATCTCTTACTAACTATATAAAATTATAGCTAAGATATCTGTATAGTTAGCCCTACTATGTTCTATGCTTTAAGACATTATAGTGGTAAATAATGGAACCACCTGCGGTTACAAGAATATTCAAGGATATAATCTTTTAATGTAGGGTAATAACGGCTTGATCCAAGGATAAATCTGACTGCCATTCTGGGGTCAAGAAGGAATTTATTTTCTAGTTTGTTGCAAAATTTGAAGTCCGTCAAACTATTGTTCTTTCTTTTTGCCTTCTTTTGGATCAACCGCAAAAAAACAAATGTGAGGCTGAACTTGATGGACGCAAGTCTCTTTTCAGCTATGTAACTATGTAATAAAGCTGGTTAAACAGTTTGTGATTTTCATTTCTACAGCTGGGGACCCCTTTTATGATTGCTCTTGCTAATAACAAACATATCTATTTTTTTTATTGAACAGTACTAGTAAATATGTTTAGGGTGCTTATTGAAGTAAATCAATACTGGACTCAGTGGAAATAGTGAATCTTGAATCAATGAAAATATAGTGATGACTATTAAATAGTCTTTAGATGTACCAGCTAGCTAGATCTAAACCTCCTATAAACAAAAGTAGGTAGAATCCACTGGCTGGTCAAGGGTTAATATAGTAGAGATCCTGTATAATGGAATCAGTACACCATGTATCAGAGTAGTATATGGTATATAAACAGTAATAAAAATTAATGGTATAGTTAGAATCCCCAAGGGATCAAAAATAAGTCCAATATATGTGAAGCAGACAAATAGTTAATGCAAAATGTATTGTCTAAACAACACACTACAATATAAAAGACTGTAAGTTAAAAATAGAAGCAGTCCCACATAAGAGAGATAAAATATACTGGGTCAAATAGACTGAGGGTCCAGGGAGGCCTCTGATGAAGTGATTTGGAATCACGAAACGCGTAAGGCAGCATCTCCATACCAGCACAGTTAGCCCCTGAGAGAGAGCGTTTGGAACGCATCCAGCAGCCGCAGTGGAACACACGCGGCGAATACACGGTGTCAGCATAGCATGAGGAAGTCCATCTTTACCTCTGTCCAGCTGGCAAGAGAGTTTAATTTACATCCCTGGACCCTCAGTCTACTTGACCCGGTATATTTTATCTCTCTTATGTGGGACTGCTTCTATTTTTAACTTACAGTCTTTTATATTGAAGTGTGTTGTTTAGACAATAAATTTTGCATTAACTATTTGTCTGCTTCACATATATTAGACTTATTTTGATCCCTTGGGGATTCAAGATTCACTATTTCCACTAAGTCCAGTATTGATTATTGATTTACTTCAATAAGCACCCTAACACCTATTTTTATCTCCTAACCCTTGGTGGTGGTTAGTATTCTTACTAGTGATACAGTGGTTATAGTTGCCATTTCCTTTCTCTAATCTTACTATATAAAGATTTCCAAATACCTTTGGGATCTCATAGTTACTTTTCTAGTAAATATGTTTGTATGTTTAATTTAATTCATCCTTCCCTTGTGTTGATTGCAACTATAGTAACTAAACATCACAACTGAACTGTAGTGGTTATGGTTCATGGAGTGCCTTGGCACCCCGCCAGTTTGGCTTCTTTTGTAGGCTCTGCTGGGCACCACTCTCATCATCTCAGTCAAAAGGAAAGCAGGATACAAACGGACTATTTATGCAATAAGGAGGCGACAAGGCAGTCCTGCCACCATACCCACTACAGTGATGTAGTGATTATATTGCTTGGAATGTAAACAATAGTAATAAACCAAAATGTAGTTGAAATTGCACAACAAAGATATATGAAATACTAGCACCAATTCTGTTTGCATCAAAACGTAAAGTACAAATACAAATCATGGTGCAGTATATCACACATTCAAATATCAACACAATAAACATTAGATTTGAATGAGTGATATACTGCACCATGATTTGTTTTTGTAGTTATTTTAGAATTTGATATATGAAATATTAACAACAATTTTGCACGTATCTCTTTAGTGTGCACTTTCACCTACATTTTGGCTTACTAAAGTACTTTACACTGTATTTTGCGTTGTGTGGAGTGGCCAAACACCTAGTGACTTTAGCTGACATTTTTTCCAATAAGTAGCACCTTTTCTACACTTTATTCACATGTTCTATGTTGCTTGGAGTGATCCTTTACAACAAAGCGATATTGATAATTAGACTTTCCTTTTAAGGATTTTCTGTATATCGAGCACTGATTGACTCAGTTTTAGGTCTCTTAATTGTAATGCTTGGTCACGCTCCAAAACTAGAGAGGGCATAGCGTGAATACGCAAAAAGCAACCAAATATAAATTACGCATATAGGTATTGTTGCTGGTTTGGGGATTTTTCTTATTTACAAGTTTCAGACACTAGAATTAGTCAAATAGTCAAATGTTAGATTAACTTGATGTAAGAAACATCAAGTATTTGGCATCAACTTGTAATTTAGTAGTTTAACACACGCAATCACTTTTACTATAAGGACTGTTGTCAGGCCTAAACATTATGTTTAGACCCAGGTAAACATTAAACAAATGTTAGACAGTGGCACAAAGTATTGACTAGAAGGAAGGTTTACATGGAGTACTGAATTGTAGATTTCAGTGCACCTAGCAGTGAACCCGCAGACCATAAGTCAAATATTGCCAAGAAGAATGCAGTTAAAATAGTTCCAGTAAAATGTCCTTGTAAAGTTCTCACTATAGACTCATACCCAAATATTCCTTACCAGAAGAAAATATTAAAGAGACATCTCTGGAGTCTAGTAATCACAGAAACAAAAATAACGTATCGCGTATATACAGACCTTTACTTTAAGACCTCAAGAATGAGGTTTTGCCATTTTCTCTTGGCAAATGCAGATACTCTCTTTCCCAGTAAAGCATAGTAATGTATATTTGTCTCTAATAAATGTTGCCTTTCAATAATGTAATACTATCCATACAGCCTATTCAATTACAAAAAACAACTGGTTGTTAAAATGGCGAGTCAGAAATATTGAGTGTTAACAAAATGGCACCATATAGACTTGGACTTGGAATAAGTGCAAAGTTATTATAAAGCTAGCTGCAGTGGCATGTGTCATTACAGTGCAGAGTGTGAGGTACAGTGGCAGAGGTATCACCTCCAGATAACAGTAGAACGAGAAAAGTCACTACAGAAAGCAAAGACATGTCTCTCAAAAGGTGTAGGTACAAAATGTTCTAGAAACAGCCATTACTGTAGCTTTATTCAGCTCCACGCGGAGCTTTACCAAAAGACCCGTAGGGACATCGGGTGGTGCTCTGGTGGATCATGCCACTCTGAAGTGGGAGTCCATAACAATGGTCTCTTAGCCCTGGATGATGACAGTAGGTTAGACCAGATTGGTCCCAGCAAAAAAGGCAGTTTCCCAAAGAGTATAGACTCTAAGATACTTGTGATCTAGATGTTTGGATGTGAGCCAGCTTTGTCTCATAAATATGTTGTCTGCTCTGAAGCATCGCTATGGCACAGGCTTTATCTTCTTGTTTGCCTCTAAAGGCACCCACTTCCTCCTCTATCATCCACATGCAGCTTGTGAGTGTGGTTATTTCTTCTCTCACCACAGAGATGTCTGCATCGAACAGTGCTTTAATATTGGTAAGGAGGGCCTTAATATCCGCCTTACTGACGGGCTGGTGGTCATCTTCCATCTGGGGATCTCTACCTGTGGCATCCGAGTTCGGGAAGCTATCAACTCTCTCCCGGCCCCATCTTAGCCAAGTGTGGCTGCAGGATCGAGCGAGGTCGCTTCTCGATAAGCTTGATGAGGGCTGGGGAGGCCACTGCCACTGAGCCCAGCTTTATTACTGCAGTGTGAGAGATTTTCACTTGGTCCTCCACTGCGCTGACCTCCAAGGAAGTTGGAGATTGCTCCCTCGTGGGAGCCATCTTATCCACCTGGCAGAGCAAATCCCAATGTTGGTATATTTAGGATTGGTCTTTGCTGTCTTGGAGTGTTGCCCCAAAGTTGCAATAGATATTGGGTACTAAAATAGCTGTGAAGTGAGTTTTCTCTGAATAATTTGTGTAGGAAGCCAGTTCTCCTTTGAACATCAGCTGAACACGTCTGCCCAGTTTAAGCGCAGTGAATTATATGTTAAAAATGTGAAAACTCATCCCTATCTTTAATATATTTATTTATAAAATATTTTACCAGGAAATATACATTGAGATTTCTCTAGTTTTCAATTATGTCCTGGGTCCACAAAACATTGCATTGATACAGTAGGGTACAATAAAATACAAAAACAATATTAATACACAATATACCGTATATACTCGAGTATAAGAGGAGTTTTTCGGCACATTTTTTGTGCTGAAAAACCCCCACTCGTCTTATACTCGAGTCACTGTCTGTATTATGTGTATTACAATATTAAAACACAATATACCATATATACTCGAGTATAAGACGAGTTTTTTGGCACATTGTTTGTGCTAAAAAACCCCCACTCGTCTTATACTCGAGTCACTGTCTGTATTATGACAACTTACATTGCCATAATACAGACAAGGACCGCCAGACTCATTACAAGCACGGCCTTCCTGTTGGGTGCTGACAGAGCGCTGTAACTTACCTTTCCTGCAGCTCCTGTCAGCTACCTTCTCTCTCCTCTGGTCCGGTCAGCTCCCCTGCAAGTCTCGTTAAGTTGGCAGTCTCGTGAGACTTGCAGGGGGAGCTGACTGGACTGGAGGAGAGAGAAGAGAGCTGACAGGAGCTGCAGGAAAGGTAAGTTACTGCTCTCTGCCAGCCCCCCTTCCTACACAGCCCATGCCACTAGACCACCAGGGAGTGAGAGCCCCCCTCCCTGCCATGTATCAAGTAGGGAGGGGGGACGAAGAAAAATATAAATAAAAAATTAAATAATACAAAATAAAAAAAATATTAATAATATAAAAATATATATATATTAAAATAATAATAATTTTAAAAAATAATAAAAATGCCCACCCCCCACCAAGGCTCTGCATCACATACACACACTGCATTCATTATATACACACACTGTAAATAAATATTCAATTAATATAATTTTTGGGGGATCTAATTTTATTTAGAAATTTACCAGTAGCTGCTGCATTTCCCACCCTAGTCTTATACTCGAGTCAATAAGTTTTCCCAGTTTTTTGGGGTAAAATTAGGGGTCTCGACTTATATTCGGGTCGACTTATACTCGAGTATATACAGTATACAAAATTTAACATAGAACAGGTAGGAAATATATAATCAACCATGACACGTGCATTCTGTTTTGAGGTATGTAGAGAGAGATCTCTTAAAGGACTTTAGGCTTGGGGAAGATTTGAAAGTGTGCGGTAGGTCGTTCCATAATTGCGGTGCCCTGTAGGAAAAGAAGGATCGGGCTGCTTTCTTTTTGTATTGAGGTAGAGTAAATAAAGTGCTGTTACTGGATCGGAGGTTATAAGAGGTGGGAACAGCCGGGGAGAGCATTCTACTCCGGTAGGGTGAGAGCTTCCCAGAAATGCTCTTAAACACAAGGCTGGAAAGATGAAGGGTGTGTTTGGATTCCAGCGACAGCTAGTTTAGTTCTTTTAGCATGTTACAATGGTGGGTCTTGTAATTACATTGTAGCACAAATCGGCAGAACAAGTTATACAATGTATTGAGTTTATTAAGGTGGGTTTGCGGTGCAGGTGCATATACTACATCCCCATAATCAATGATTGGCATCAGCATTTGCTGTACAATCTTTTCCTTTACCTGTAGGGCTTAGGCAGGATTTGTTTCTGTACAGGGCACCTAGTTTTGGATTAAGTTTAGATGCAGGGTTTTCTATGTGGAGGCCAAAAGATAGATTGTGGTCTAACAACATACCCAAGTATTGGGAGCAATTATATTGGGCGATAGTTACCCAATAGTTACTAGAAACCAAAGTAGTGTCACCACTTTTATGGATAGGCACTACTCTTGCAGTCTTCCAAAGTTTGGGTATGTATCCAGACACCAAGGATTTGTTAATTAGGGTCGTGACAGGTTTAGCAATTGCCAGCGCACTGAGCTTCAACAGCATTGCTGGGATTAGATCAGGTCCAGACTGGTTTTTCATTTAGGTACAGGTCTAAAAATTAACTTGTCTATATTGGGTCTTTGCAAATGTAGTGGGGCCTGATCCACATTTGTAGTTTCAGGATGTGTGTCATTTATTAGTTCGGCAATCAGGTTAGTGGAGCATCTGACAAAATAATTGTTAAAGGCATTTGCTACATCTAGGGGACGTTGCAGGGTTTGGTTATCCACTTTGACAGTGGAGGGTTGGGAGTCGATTGGGTGAGTTTGTAATTTATTTATACCTTCCCAAAGGTTTCTAGGGTTTGATAGGTTATTGTTCAGATTATCACAGAAATATTGGGCCTTGGTAAATTTTGTTTGTTTTGTGCATATATTTTGCCATTGTCTATATGCACAGTGATCCTCATAGAGAGAGTATGCTTGAGCTTTGACCACAATGAATCCCAAAACTGGTACATTTGGATGAGGTCAGCTGTGATCCAGTTCATATGTGCTCCTTTTACTCTCACCTTACGCAGTGGGGCATGCAAATCCCAAACTTGCAGGAATTCAGACTGAAAGAATTCAACTGCACAGTCTAGATCTGGGATAATGTTTAATCTGTGCAATGAGAGGTTCTTGATGTCATTAAAGGACCACTATAGTGCCAGGAAAACATATTCATTTTCCTGGCACTATAGTGCCCTGAGGGTGCCCCCACCCTCAGGGTCCCCCTCCCGCCCGGCTCTGGAAAGGGGAAAGGGTTAAAAACGTACCTTTTTCCAGCGCTGGGCGGGGAGCTCTCTGCTTCCTCTCCTCCTCTTCTCCTCCTCCTGGACTGGCTGCGCGCGCATTCAGCCCGTCGCATAGGAAAGCATTTACAATGCTTTCCTATGGACGCTTGCGTGCTCTCACTGTGAAAATCACAGTGAGAAGCACGCAAGCGCCTCTAGTGGCTGTCAATGAGACAGCCATTAGAGGGAATAGGGGAAAGGCTTAACCCATTCATAAACATAGCAGTTTCTCTGAAACTGCTATGTTTATGAAAAAATGGGTTAACCCTAGAAGGACCTGGCCCCCAGACCACTTCATTAAGCTGAAGTGGTCTGGGTGCCTAGAGTGGTCCTTTAAGAAAGGATTCAAGATTACATTTTTTGAAGGACCTGGTGATTTTAACCTTGGGAGAGGATTTAGTAGCCTTTATTTATTTTTTTACATATACTGTGTTTTAAAACAAATATATTTCCTTTCAAAACCTGATGAAAGGATTATTACCTTAAAATATTTTTTGAGGAAAGTTCTTAAAACTTGAGAACCAATACCAACTAAGGGGGATGTGACATCTTGACTGCCTGACTTATGCATCTGTCCAGAACTCAATCCACCTCCATACACTTAGTATATTTCTCTCTAGCAAGAAGGCTCATGCCGATCTCCCTCTTGTCATCACAATTAGAGTTCTCAAATGCTATAAAATACATAAAAGCCACTCCTTTCATAAACGGATGACCTTCTCTTGCTCATGCCCCATCTTGGCAAACCCCTGTTCTCCCCTCTATCGTGTCCCCCACCCCATCCAGATCATCTTGGGGAGAAGCAAATGGCACGAATACACCATACACACTTGAATTGGCAGGGACTAAGACACACTCCCAGGCTGTGACATATACAACTACATTCTATGTCATTACTGTACCCATCAGATGTGAACCAATCTCCATGTTTCTTCAAGGGCTCTACCCGATCTCACCTTCTTTTAGAAGGCTGATTGATTGGCAAATAACCTGCATACCGCCAGAGTTCTTTCATTTCATTGTGTGTGTATGCTTGACACTGAGTGCATATGTGTCTATCATTAAGTGTATATGTGTGTTTGTCAGTGTGTGTCTGTCAGTGAGTATATGTGTGTCTCAGTGTGTTTGTCTGACTGATTTGGTATGTGTCTGACACTGAGTGTGCATCTGTCAGTGAGTGTGTATGGGAGTCTGTCAGTGAATGTGAGTGTGTGTCTGAGTGAGTGTATGTGATTCAGTGAAAGTGTGTGTTGGTTTAACAGTGTGTGTGCCAATGACTGCATCTGTTAGTGAGTGTATGTCAGTGTAGGCATCAGTGAGGTAATGTGTCTGTCAATCAAAGAGCATGTTGGTTTTAAAAAGTAACATACATTTAGATTGGGGGGACGGGGGTGCCTGAGATTTGTCATGGCTAGGGCAGCGCAAAAACAATACACCACTGCATCCAGGTGATTGCTGCAGACCATAGACCAAGTTCTGACCATATTTGGATTTAGTAAATATGAGACTTTCAATTGCGGTTGAAATATATGTACACATAGACGTCTAAAATGTTAATATGTACACACCGATCACAGGGACTTTGCAAAAGGTGGTGGACGTAAAAACAATATGGCCATAATGTGTGATGAAACCTCCAGAGGGGTGTGAGAGGATATAGGGTGGTGAATGGGAGAGTGGTAGGTGAGATGAGTGTAAAGGGGAGAAGTTGGCAGGAGAGGAAAGATGAGGGGAAGGGGAGAAGAGGATGGCAGATACGATGGTTGTGGGAGAAAGGGGGTAGAAAGAAAGGTGGAGGGAGGGGTAGAAGAAAGAGAGAGATAGAATGGAGAAAAAATGTAATGAAGAAATGTCAGATTTTTCAGATAAGAGGGTTGATATACTCTTACTCAGAATATCTGTGTAATAAAAAGAGAACACATTTTAATAACAGTCATGTGTATATATTTATAAAAAAAAATAATATTATATATATATATATATATATATATATATATATATATATATATAGCGCCAAAATACCAGAGTATTGCAGTATGCAATGGTACCTTTTTATTGGACTAACATAATATTTAGTGTTTATGTTTTATTTAATTTCATTTTATTAATGCGCTAATGCTGCAAAACAGGATTGGTCCATTAATATCCAAATCTGTTTGGTTAATCATTATCATAAGCAAATGAGGGTCACTTATGATGTGCTGCTGATAATTTCTAGTCCTCAGGGGGGTTCTCTTATCAGGTGCAGAGATGTTCTCAAGGACAGGGCAAACAGGTCCACAGACACACAAGTGTGCATGCACGGCTGACACTCCCATCTAAGTCAACACATACAAGCTCAGACACTGACTACTCGTTCCAGTTCACCAACTTGTCAGGTCAAGTTTTAAGGTGGAGTGGCCTAACCCTTTTTCAGAACTGGGAAAGGAGCTGTAAAGTGAAAGTAATGAACTTTTTGAAGAAATTTGTGTTCTTCTTAAACCAATATCAAGCCTTCCATCTTCCCTGTGTACAGCACATTTTATCTGTCCTACTGCCAGATCACAGCTAATAGCACAGATTAAATGAGATGTGTAAAGAAACCTCTGAATAGTGCAGCAAAGAAAGGATATTTTTTACTAACCCACAATCTGCACAGTTTTCCAGAGTCAGCAATAATACATAACTTCCTCTGACATATCTCCTCCCAGTCTAATCTAGATTAGAGGTTTTTTTTTTTTTCCCTTCCTTCCTTGTTTCTAATTCATGTTAAAGTTAACTATTTTCATTCTGATTGAGATTCTAAAGGCAATGATATTGAATCATTGTTTTTTTTTTTACAGAGTTAAGGCTGTGGGACCAAGAGATTCTGATTCTGATTAAAGCAACATTGTAGGTGCTAGAACAAAATCATGTCATTGAATTGGTTATAGTGCCTGGA